TCTCACTGATTGGCATATCAAAGACAACCCAATCTGACACCTAGTGCAGTATCATAATCGAGTCTAGGGGTCAGGTGTAACATTCCAGTTTTGCCTATCTATCTCCAAGGTCCAGGGCAATACTAGAATTTTGGTCCGGTTCAGGGTTTCAAGAAAACCCACACTGCATGTACCTCAGGTTTCACCATGGCAGCTGAGACAAGCTACCCCAACCAACTTGGTGGCACATCAGTGCCATTCTTGGTAGGATAAATCTCCCCAGATCTATTCAACGACTATGAAGATTCTAAACTAACACGAGTCTCATATGTGTCTAGTTTAAGGGTATTACACAGAAACACACCATAATAACATGAATCAAATATGTACTTTATTCATTTACAATAAATGTCATAATGTACATGCTGATTGGAGCTAAGGGCATACACTATCTAACACTAATTACTCCAAGGATTGGAACCTTTTGTTGGGAAGCCTTCCTCGGAAGATATAATACTTGTGACGTACTCCATAGAAAAAGGTCTTTTTAGTGCTTGTCTCCGAATTGGTGCATTCTTTGCAAGGCTAATGGTGAAAGCTCCTACCACTTATTAGTTTCTTGCCCCTTTGCTACTAATCTTTGGGAATGGTTTCTTTTCTCTTTTGGTTGCAGGTGGACCCCTCATTCTTTGGTTGGCCAAACAAAAGAGGAAGGATAATGTGGAGATGTGTAAGGACTGCTGTTTGCTGGACTCTTTGGGAGGAAATGAACACCAGAATTTTCTCTGAAGTTGAAAGAAGTAAAGAATGCTTTATTGAAGTAGTAACAATGAGGGTGGTACATTGGCTGAAATCTTTGGACTTGTTTGTTGATATTTCTACGAATATGTTGCTGAATAGCTGGTTGGAGGTGGCAAATTTTGCTCTTGCTCGCTTTTTAGTTTGTCTTGTGTGGTCACCACTAGGAAGTGGGACTTATAAAGCTAAACTTTGGTGGAAATAGTGAGGGAAATCCAGGTCCATCAGGTGTAGGAGGGGTTTTCAGAGATGAGGATGGGAAGGTGCCCGCTTTGTGTTTAGGTTCCATTGGGTTTGGACTTTGGAGACTCTCTCAAAGCTTAGGTCTATGTAGTATTGGAGGGTATAAGGAAGTCTAAGGAATTGAATATACAAAAGTTAGTCATTGAAGGGGACTCAAAGCTGGTCTTAAGTTGGTTACAAGAAGGTAGTGGACTTTGGAAATATGTTAAAGAGAGGAGGGAGATTAAGTGGCTAACTAGAGGACTGGAAATCAAGTTTCAATGGGTCAATAGAATAACAAATGCATTTGTTGATGCTTTGGAAAAGCAGGGGGTGGGAAGGGATCAAATGTTTTGGACTGTTTTGTAACTTTTCTTTTTTGTTATCTTCTTGGAGAGAGTTAAGCCTGTTTATCTCTCTTTGGAGGCTTGGAGCGTTGTAACTAAATTCTTTTAATCTAATGAATTCCAATTATTGATAAAAAAAATGTTTATAAATCTTAATTTTTGTATGTAAAATAAAAAATAATCTTTATTTTTTATAGGAAGCTTGGCTTGCAGTCTTGTGAGCTTTTGATCTGAGCCGAATTTGAGCTCAAGTCTCTAGCTCAAGCCTAATACTGTTTTGGCGAGTCGAGCTCGAATAGCTAGGTATTCGGCTTGGCTCGGCTCGACTTGAATCCACCCCTATTATTGATTCCTCAGAGGTTAAGATTGATGTTATCTTTTGGGCTTGGAAAGATTTGAGGTTGAGGGGATTCTCAAATTATTGGGTTAACTGGGGTTGATTCTCGTGGTCCATTGCCACTTGAGGCATAAAATTAGGGAGGCAAGGTGAAACTCTAGGCATCATAGTGAACTTCTTGTTCAGATGGATACTGAGGTCTACCAACTTATTAGCTGAGAGGCTAGCCAGAGATAGTGTGATTGGTACCGAGGTCTAGCACTTTCTACCATGTTGTTTATCCTCATTTAATCTTTAACAAAATTGCTTCTTAGTAATAAAAAAGGTGTTGAATGTTTCACACATTACATTTTTTTATTCAAATTGCATTAGCATTTTTGTATGATTGAAATATTAAGGATTACTTCTTTTCTTTTCGTTTCTTTTTTTTTTGTCACAGGTGGAACTTCGTGATGTTGACACTGGAAATAAAATAACTGAAAGATTTCGTACGGATGAGGCCATTGAAAGTATGCATATTGTTTTTTGCAACTTCTTTTGTGGACTTTGAGTAAATGAGTTTTATTCATAACTAAGCATTCTGTTATTGATCAAGTCCACAAAAGAAGGTGATATCTTATCACATTCTTTTTTGCAACTTCTTTTTTTGATCAAGTCTACAAAAATTGCAACTTCCACTAATTCCATGGCTGATGGGTTAGCCGAGCAAGGGGTGCTTAAGGATTCTTTGTTTTGGGCCACTTTTTAGCTTTCTTTCTTGTTCTCTGTTGTGGGGGAGTAAAGATATTTTACCTCCCCTCTCTTGTACTTAAAGTTTCACAATTTTTATAATCTAATAAAACATTCTGTTATTGATCAAAAAAAAAAAAAAAAAGAAGGTGATAAGATATCACCCACAAAGGTTCATAGCCCAACACCTACACCTCAGTACCCTTCAACCCCTTTTAATACATACTTTTTCTTCCGCATACCTTACAAACAAAAAGAAAGCCCACTGCCAAAATCCATTAAACTTCAAAGCCCAGCAACACCCCCCCTAAGATCCCAAACTAACACTGACCCCAACAACTTTCACCATTCAGCCATCCCCTTTAAAGCTCTATTTGTTCAATGGATATCTCTTTTCCAATCCCTGGAACATTTTTCTTGCATATTCTTCTTATCCTGATGTAAGTTACTTTCTATTCCAATGCTATATAGTTACTTATCCATGCTGATATAGCCCTTGGGATGTTAAGGTTGGCAAATAAATCAATGCTAGGTTTAGGGTTGTTCACGGGGTTTGACAACTTTAGGTATTCAGCAACTGAACTAATGAGTGCATTGAAAATTCTTTACAGAAATTTGTAGAGTTGACATCTTTGGTCTTATTAGTTGGCTATGGTCATGGTGTATATCAGAAGAATAAACGTCCTTGGGTCTTAGTCCTCAAGAACAGAGCAAGTGGATATCTTCTAAACTGGTTTAAGAGAATATCAATGCAAACATGTAGAGAGGAAAAATTGGAAATTTCATTAGCTTCTTTAAGAGCTATTACATGAAACATATAACTCAACTCAACTTAACTCAAGAAAATTTTAATCCCAACTATTTAGGGTTGGCCTCATTAATCCTGTCCCTCCATTCCACCCTATCAAGAGCTGAAGAGCCATGTTTTCTGCATTACAAGAAGCATTTTTATAATAAATAATAATTTATTTCCTCGAGAAACATTTTGAAACTCAGTTTGAACTCATGGTAACACTAAACTAAGTCCAAAAAAACGATAACTTAAGTGAACTTTAACACAGAATTACATAGAAAATTTGGACCTTTGACCCAAATGACTAAAAGAATATCAAAATAGTAAACTACCATTGACATCCAATTGTCGAGATTTTGGAACATCTTGAGACCTTGACACTTCTCCCACCCATAGACCTTAAAATGAGGAGAAGGGCAAAATCCTCCACCGTCTCACTGTTTCCTGTTATTGATAGGCCCTGAGGAAACAAAAACAAATATCCTTTAAGTATCTTAAGAATGACTTCAAAACTTGACAATCTGGGTTTACTAAATGAACAGAAATGGGCATTTAGCTTTGGTCATCATGAAGACTCATGAAGTGAACAAAGCCTTGTGACCAATGAAGTTAAAAAGCAAGTTAATGCGGAAAGATTGTAAATACAGCAGTTGAAGTGAACATAGCCTTGTGTTTACTGGTTTTAGGGGGTGGGGCTTTTACTAGAAAGATGTTTGAGGATCTGGAAGGAAGGTATCCTTTGCCCTTGAGGGAATTAGATTTCAGCTCCAGATCCAAAGACTTAAGTTTTTGAACAGCGAGCCGATGGAATTACAAGAGCCAGCAATGTTGAGGTTGAAATCTTGGAAGAAGATTAATTGTTCAAGAAGAATTCAGTTCTGGAATCGGAAAGAATTAATGAGGAGATAGAGACTTGTTGGAATTTAGGAAGGATTTTTTGGCAGTTAGAAGGCTCAAACATCAGAGAAAGCATCGCCCAGTTCTGGTGTCAAGTGTTTTTACTAGACTAAAAGGAGGGTTTTTTGGGATTGGACCAAGTAAAAAAGTGTTGAAACACAAGAAGGGTCAAAAGAGAAAGTAGAGGCTTCTGTTTTTGTTGTTCTTTTGGGTGTGTGGAGTAGACCTGTTCACGGGCTGGGCCAGGTTCGGATCGGGCTTTGCCTCTTTATCAGCAGAAAATGTCTAGGCCTGAGCCCAAGCCCTTCCAGATCATCAGGCCTAGATCTTAAGCCCAAGCCCAGCCCTTATATAAAGCCCGAAACCCAGTCTGTACAAAACATGTCCTATTTATGGTGTAATTTAATAAACTTAATATATATATATTTATTATATATAATTAATTTACGTTTTTATTATATGTAATAGTATCAGGCCAGGTTTATTTGAGAAAGCCTGAGCTCGGCCCGAAAAACAGTTGGGCCTGGTGTTTAAAGCTGGAGCCTGAGCCCGCGGGCCTGAAGTTTTATCAAAGCCTGAAAAATAACAGGGCGGGCCGGGGCAGCCCGTCGGACTACCCAGCCCATGAACATGACTAGTGTGGAGGGAAATTTTTCTGGGTTGCTTTGATTGTGCTGTTGACTGTTGTAAGAGGTCTGGTTGTGAAGAGCTCCGTTTTATTGGTTAGTTTTTTGCCTTTGTTTTTTCAGGTTTGGGTTTCTGGGTCCAAGGTGGGGAGTTTGTTTGAAATTCTGATTTTGTGGTTGGTGATCTTTTTGAGTTGTTGGGGTTTTGGTTGTTATCCCCTTTTATCTTTTCTCTCTCGGGTGACTTCTCGTCACCTTTCTTGTATTTCTTTTTATTTTAATAAAATTTTATTTTTATTACCAAAAAAATTTGTCACCTATGAGACTGCAGTATACATGTTTGTCTAGAGTAATACAAGATATCATTAGATCTGTCATGTTATCTAGTGATACACAAAAGTTTCTGTGAGCGATGTTTTGTGGCTTGTTGTAGAATGGTATGGTTAGTATTTTGTTTTCAATGAGAAGTCTTCTGGTTGGGTAGCAGAGTTAGTGAGGATGTCTTGGCAGAACCAAGGGCTGGGATAGGGTAGGAGAGTAGGAAGCTTGAGAGAAGTATTTCAGAAAGCACAAGGAGTAGAGCCATAGACGGATAGGGGGCAGGGGAAGGAAGAAATGAAATCTTCCAGAGGCACTGGGCTTTTTGTTGGTATTGCTCAGGGTGAGCTGCTGGTGTTTGGGTTAGATTGTTATTGTTGGCATTGTTGATGTGGGTGAGCTGCATGTGTCTGAGTTTGTTGATATGTTACTTTATTTTACTATTTTAGTGGTGTTCCCACAGTAGTCCTGGGTTTACTATTTGATTTGGTCTTTGGTTATTTCTGTGGTGAGCTTTTTGTTTTGTGTCTTGCTATGTTTTATGATTGAGCTGATACTATGGTTCTTTAAGTTGCCATTCCTTGGCAGCCTTTTATTGTTATTTTTTCCTTTTATTTTTTTGGGGATGCCTGTAGACCTCTTGTATATATTTCTTCTTATTTTTGTCAATGAATTTCTATTTATTATCAAAAGTAAGAAAAGTATTGGGACCCAAATCCATCAGTGCAATTTTTCAGATTCAGGCAAGTTTTGTATTTAAAAGAAAAAGAAATTCAAGAATTTGGATGTTCTGGATTGGTGGGTATTTTTTAATTATTATGCCGTAAAATCCATTTATCAATGTTCTGGAATTTTAATTTCAGCAAGTGTCTAGCAAATCACAGACTACATTAAAATTGTAGTTTGGAATGATATTGTTTTCTGAAGCATTGGTTCATAATTAACATTGGCATTGGATGAGTTCTGGGAGTGAGATTTAGGTTTTTCAATTTACTAATCACCAAAATTTTCTATTAATATAAAAAAGCCAAGTTATTGTCATATCTGGATTTTTTCAAATATAATTTTCTTTTAATGTTCAGATGATAATCGAGTAATCACAGATTTAGTTGCATGTAATTTGGTGCAGGAGTTTTTGTTGAAGATAAGTCTTTCACATTTCTGTATGCAGAAGGTGACTCTATAATGATAATGGAGTAAGTTATTTGATGGAAATCTCTGTTACTTGTTTCCAAACATTTGTGCTATTCTTATGAATCTATTTATGTTGAGAACTTTGCAAATGGCCATGCTGTTCTAATTTTAACCAGGCCTAATACATTCGAGCAAATGGAAATTCACAAGGACATGTTTGGAAAAAATGCTGCTTATTTGAAAGGTACTTGTACTTTGAATGAAACAATTGTATCCTTACTTTTATGACATTCTGAAACCAGATTCAGTGGCATTGATTCATTTTAACTTTTTTTCTTTTTTATTTTACCAAAATACATTTCTATGCATGTGGACATTTTTTTTTTCTTTTGATTGTTGTGTAGAAGCATTCATGCAATTTTCATATTATTAATTTGAAATGAGTATCCCCAAGATACTGTCTCGTAGCTGAAATATACTACAAAACAACAGTGTTAGAATACATGCAATAATGCATTACCTATACATGGACACTTCAAAACGGGCACCATACCCATTTCAATGTTTGGACAGATGTAAATGTATGCACTGGCAGAATAGTTCATGGGTCTCTTCTCTATGTTGAACCCTTAATATGTGACTAGAAGACCTCAAACTCTTGGAATAAAATATGGGGCAGGGTTGTGAATTTGTAACATTTGATATTTAGTACATTGTTTAATCAGTAATATAGTATTGTCAATTATGAATTACTTTAATTATTTACTGTTTTTATATTGGTTTATGCTTTCACATACATATTTTTTATTTTTTATTTATTACCAAAAGAAATACATAATTTTCTTTTGTACAAATTTTTGCTATTTACATAAGATAAAAATATATGGTTAGAAAACAAAGTACATCTGTTGTTGTGTCCTGAAATACAATGTTCTTGGGAGTTTGGACTGTCAAGTCTGACACCTTGTACCTTTATTGGATTTTAACACTTGTACTGGGTCCACATAACAATGTAACATAGCATATTACTGGGTGAGATACGTCTGTACTTGCTCATGTTAATGAACAAGTAAATGAAAATCCCCAATTTTCTATTGCTTGTGAGATTTCTTTTTGGTAAATGGAATCGGGGGACTTCCACTCCATCCACCTGTTCTCTGGCCATTATTATTATTTCTAGGCTTCTAGCAAAGCAGTTGTCGTGTTTCTTTATTTCTTCTGTTGCTCTTAGTGCATGGTGAATAATGAAGAGGCTTCTCATTTCATTCACTGATCTTTTCTACTGAAAGTTTATTAATAGCAAAAGGACTTGTATTACTACATCACCAAGAAGGGCAAGATCCCCACAAAATACAACATTTTACATGGTTAATGAATTGGAATCATGTACACCATTTATGCATATATGATTCTATATATCAAAAGGAGAATATAATCTGGATTTAGTTCTAACTCCTTCAAAATAAGGACCTATCAAACTAAGGCTCTTTCAATCCTCCCAATGAGGGTGCACGAAGCCAAGCTTTTAGATTCAAATGTTTTGCTATTTTTCTCTTTCCACATGAACCAACATAAAGAGGCAAAAAGTGAGCAAATTCAAAAGGATGGTACCAAACCCAGTTTCTTGCCAGGATGATATTAACATCTGTCCAGAATATAACATAGGAATGAGGTTATCCATTTCCATTTGTAATGGAACAATAATTATCTTGTTTTTTTAATTTGTTTCTCCTTTCCATTGTCATATATACAAAGGAAACTTGTTTTCTTAAATGCATATTTCCATGGAATAGCATATATTATGATTCCATTTCATAATTGATTTGCAATTTCTAGTATCTCCCTTCTCCCTACTCTCTCTCAACTATGAGTTCGTCAGTGTCAAAACCACAGTTCAAAGTTTACCCATGGTTTAAAAATCAATTGTATTTCCTAATATCTGCACAAAGTATTTCCATTTCTATGAGTACCAACACAAAATATTATGGGATATATTTCAACATATTCTCCCTTGCTTAATATATTTAGTATTGTTTTCAGAAAGTTTTACTATGTTATGTATATAATTGTCAGGTTTTGACTTATATGTATATAGATATTATCCAGATAATTTGTTTTAAATAATCCTTATGATTCCTGTGGCTGCTCTTTGGACCATTTGGATGAAGAGGAATAGCAGAGTTTTTGAAGGCAAAGCCTCTCCAATAGATGATCTGATACATAATACAAGGCTTTGTACATCTTCTCATGTACATCCCTGCCTTTTTTTGATCTTGATGAAATCTGTTATCTTTTTCTTTCAAAAATAATGTTACAACAGATAATCTCTTTTTGTAATCTCACTGATATATGACATGTGTATCCACATTGTTTGTACAATCATCTCTTGCACTGTAGAGTTCCTTCCTGTACTGGAGAACTTTCTCAGAAAAAATACAATATGGCTCATTTCTTCTTATTTTCCCTTGTGAAATATTTCTAGTCACATAGTTTTTTGTTTGGGATCACCATTCACCAACAGATCAGGGATTTTTTTTTTTTTTTTTTGTAGAATAAAAAAGAGATATGCTTAACTAAAGTTTCTAGAAAATTCCAAATTACACACATGATAATCCATTTGATAGTCCTGATATTATAGTTGTCTACCTCCTAGGTCAGGCCCCCCAATACAGGTCATTCCTATTACCTCCTTTCCTCACAAGGGAGTCAGTAGAGGAGTTTGTAGACCTATTTATACATAATTTAATTAAACATGACTGATGTTTTAATATTTTATACTCTTATATAAGTATACTTATAAGAAATAAAAGAATATACATACACATAAATAAAACATAGTCAAATAACATTTACAACTTAAAATATTTTTTTTCTTTGATAATTTACAACTTAGAATATCAACAATGGGTACTTGTGTTTGTATATATTATATGACAATGTGTAGTGATATGATATTTCTTTAGAGCCTTAAATTTTATTATAAGTGGAGGAAGGTGCCATTTCATTGTGAAAAGTATCCTTTTTTTTATCACTTATATAGTGATATAATTATTTTAAAAATATGTCCTTTGGCATTTCCTCATGTTTGTCAGCCCAAGATTTTACCACTGCACCTAGCAATTACCTGTTTGTTTTGCTGAAAATGTATACCACTAATAAGAAACATGTCAGAAATATTGGAATATTGTAAAAGTTTTAGAACATCATAAATATTAATCTTTGATAATATATGTTAATATTTTTTGAAATTATAGTAGAAAAGTTTGGACAACCTGTTTTGATATAAAAACTGTAAAAGAAAGAAGAAAAGAAAGAGAAGAAAAGGTTTCAGCTGAGAAAGAGAGAGAAGAGAGATAGAAGAGAATGGGAGAAGCACAGAATTAGGTCTGGCTGCCCCTTTCATTAGATTATATACTCATAAATAAAAGAGAGTACAAAGACAAGTATGCCCTTAGTAAGTCTGCTACTTGTGAGAACTTAAAAACACTCTTAACTTAAAACATAAACTAATGGGCCTAAGGCCCTATAACTCCCTAACTATGCTATGTAAATAAAAAGCATGTTATTATCAGCCCAAAACTCAACAATTATAAATGGATGCCCGAGAGCAGCCACTTTGTGTAAGTAAATGTCCAAGCTTAGGTCCATATTTGGTCCATCTCTTCAAGATCCCAAATGGCTGGGGACCTTTCTACAAAATAAAAAGGCTGGGACCAACATTGGGTAAAAGCACTTCTTTTTACATTTTCACCAAAATTGACATTTTAAGCCTTGAGTTAACCCTTTTTTGTGGATAAACTTTGATACATTTTGTTGAACAGATGATATGGCAGTTACCCTGCAATTTTATGATGGAAAGCTGATGTCGGCATCAGTTCCACATCGTGTGACATGTACCATTGCCGAAGCACAAGATCCTATGAAGGGGATAACAGCCACACCTCAGTAGGTTCAATATCTTTGTTATATATTACTTCATGCATAGACGTTTGGCATACACATTTGTATTCATATTTTTGGGTCTTAATCTGATCGCAACATTTTTTTTAAGTTCCACCTTGTATTTACATTGACAAGAATGATGATAATATATGCAAGTCCTGTCATCCTTGTATCTGTTTACCCAAGGATTAAAACATTTGTATTAGAGTATGCATTCCTTGTCTAATGCATATTGGATGATATGTTCAAGAGAGATTGGTGTTTCTTTTAAGTGGGCTAGGAGGTTAGAGATGTAAACCAGTCCTCAAAAATAGGTGTAAACTTGAAAAATTAGAGAGAAAAAGGAGGAAGAAAAGTAAGAGCAGCAGTACAAGAGAAGAAGATGGAGAAAAGAGGAGGAAGAAGAAGAAAGGTTTGAATAATCCTTCCCTTTCTTCTCTAATCCTTTTTACTAAAAATTAATGTTAAAATAATTACAAGTATGCCCTTAAGTGGGCAGCTAGCTAGGCAGTAACATAAAGAGATCAAACAAAAAGAAATAACTGGCCCATTAAGAGAGGCCCATTAACTAACAGGAAAATAGAAAAAATATTACAAGAGAAGATAATAGGACCCATTCGGCCCAGTCTCTTTGCGCTCCCCCCACAAGCTGAGCATAGATGTCAATCATGCCCAACTGGCTTATATAGTGTGTCATTTTCCCTCTCGGAACTCCCTTGGTCAAGATATCAACCAATTGTTCGTCTAGTGTGATGAATGGCAAACAAACTTTTCCTGAGGAAACTCTTTCCCTTATAAAATGTCTATCAACCTCAATGTGCTTAGTTCTGTCATGTTGAACAGAATTATGTGCAATATTGATAGCTTCTTGGTTGTCACAGTAGAGCATCATTGGCTTCTCATAGTCAATCCTCAATTCTTCTAAAAGGGATCGTAGCCACAGTAATTCTGACACACCATGTGCCATTGCCTTGTATTCTACTTCAGCTGAGGATCTAGCAACTACAGACTGTTTCTCACTCCTCCATGTCACAATGTTCCCAGCGACCAGAGCACAATAACCTGAGGTGGATCTCCTATCATCAATACATCCTRCCCAATCRGMATCARTGAAAGCTTCCAGCTTCATGTGTCCATGTTTGGCAAATAGAATACCTTTCCCTGGAGTACCTTTCAAGTAACACAAAACCCTTTCTATAGCAGCTAAATGAGTATCTCTGGGAGAATGCATAAATTGACTAATAACACTTACTACATAGGAAATGTCCGACCGAGTCATGCAAAGATATAACAACTTCCCAAGCAGTCTCTGAAACACCCCCTTATCAGMTAAAAGGTCACCATYTGTAGCAGAAATCTTATGATTGGGATCAATAGGAGTGGAGATTGGTTTAGCTCCAAGTTTACTAGTCTTAGTAAGGAGGAGGTCAATGACATATTTACGCTGAGAAATGAAGATACCATCCTTAGATCTAGCAACTTCAATGCCCAAAAAATACCGAAGATCTCGATCTCAAATTCAGAGTTAAGAAATCTTTTGAGTTTACTGATCTCTTGAGTGTCATTACCCGTGACCACAATATTATCAACATAAACTATCAAAAAGGTCACCAGAGAGCCATTTCTATTCAAGAACAGGGTATGATCAGATTGAGTTTGTGTGTAACCAAAGGAGACAAGAGCAGCCCTGAATCTCTCAAACCAAGCTCGAGGAGACTGTTTGAGACCATAAATAGATTTTTGCAGTTTACACACCTTGCCTTGCATTTCCTTCCCATACACCCCTGGAGGCAAAGACATGTAGACCTCTTCATGTAGGTCTCCATTCAAGAAGGCATTTTTAACATCAAACTRGTGTAGGGGCCARTCAAAAGTAGCGGCTAGAGATAACAAAACCCGGACTGAGGTCATCTTAGCTACAAGAGCAAATGTCTCAAGATAGTCAATACCATACATTTGAGTGTAGCCTTTAGCAACCAGCCTAGCCTCAAACCTCTCAATAGATCCATTAGAGTGATATTTAATGGTAAACACCCATTTACAACCCACTGGTTCCTTCCCTTCAGTCAAGTCAACAATATCCTAGGTATGGTTCTTATGTAAATTATCCAGTTCAGCCATCATAGCATCCCTCCATTCAGGTTTAGATAAGGCTTCTTGTACAGACCTGGGTATCACATGGGAAGAAACAGAAGCAAGAAAAGAGTAGTAGGAAGGAGAGAGAAGGCTGTAAGRYAGGTGTTTGGAGATACAATGGGCTGTACACTTCCGCTTGCCCTTGCGGAGAGCAATAGGAAGGTCAAGGTCTGGGAAAGATGTAGATGGGTCAGAGGAAGGCT